TAAAAATGAAACACATTTGTTTATTCTACATATCGGTAAAGCACTGATTAGACCAAGAAAAGGTAAAAGAATATATGTAAAATTGTTGGTTATAGTCAAATCTAAAAATAGGATTTGGGAAAGGAGATATTTATTTTGCTTTGCATTTTACTTTACATTTTTCTTACTGAAAAAACTGTATTTTAGCTAGGCACTGGTGGCTCGTGTGGTAATCCTAGCTATTCAGGAGGCTGAGATCTAAGGATTAACGTTCAAAGCCATCCTGGGCAGGAAAGTCTATGAGACTCTTACGATTCAATTAACCAACCTAAAAACTGGAAATAGAGTTGTAGCTCAAAGTGGTAGAGTGCTAGCTTTGAGCAAAAAAAGCTCAGGGACAGCACTCAGGCATTCAGTTCAATTCCCATGATCAAAAAAACAAACAAAATAGATAACGAAAGTACTACCGTATTTTAAGTACAGGGATAGATAATGAAACTTAAAATGTATTATAATTCTCCCCTTCTAAGTATTACCTTTTTTCCTGTCCAAATATTTTTTTGTTCAATTTCCATTTGTGTTTGACTCTGCCATAATTTGCTATTAGTCTTGGAAAAATCAACTCCTTACTTTGTTTTGTAGTTGCATTACTCATAGATAAGACACATAATCTAGTTAGGGTATTCTGGTAGCTCTGAATGATATTAAGAAATTGACCCTGCAATGGAGGAGTTGAGAGAGGCTAGAGGCAACCTTGGCCAGTACTTGTTATAGTGAGCAGCCTTTTTAGGGTTCCTTAGAACATCCTGGGCAGCATGGTTTAGGACATATGCCAAGGAGGCAGTGAGTATTGTAGCACTTGCAGTTTTGCTGCCTGTGGATCACTTGGACAATAATATGTAAGGTACTCCATTGTCTATCATGGACCAGAGGCATTGGAGCCAATGCATAAATCTGTGTGTGCAAGGTAATATAGCACACAGCCCTGTGGGGCAGTGATAATGTTAGGTTTTTAAAAAGAGGTCATAAGAACTGCACCAGCACGCACGTGGTATTCAGGTAAGGGGTAGGTTTATTCAGTAGACCTGCTGGGACCAGGCAAGGTTGGCACTCCACGTGGCTGGGAAAGGCCTGGGAATGAGAGAGAGAGCTGGGAAAGAGAGGAAAGAGCTAGAAAAGAGCAGAGAGAGGGGTAAGAACAGTAGCACTCACGTGGTATTCAGGTAAGGGGTAGGTTTATTCAGTAGACCTGCTGGGACCAGGCAAAGTTGGCACTCCACGTGGCTGGGAAAGAGAGAGGAAAGAGCTAGAGCAGAGAGAGAGCAGAGAGAGCTAGAAAAGAAGAGCAAGACAGCGTCTGGGCCTGGGCTAGGCCTTATGTAGGGTATGGGCAGGGAAAGGTGTGGCCACATCAAATTCAGATGTGACCTCAGCGGATGCAGATGTGACCTCTTCCAGGTGTCCCAGTTGCATAGGTAACGCAGGTACTGGGTGGAGACTTTGATGCGAGGAGGGTGGAGTCTGCTTGCCATCCAGGGGCGGACCTTACAGATAAGAGATGAGCCTAGCAGACTAAAGCTTCTGGTGGGATTAGCTCTACCCAGAGTTTTTTTTTTTTCCTTCCTTCCTTTCTTCCTTCTCTCCCTCTTTCCTTCCTTCCTTCCTTCCTTCATGTTGTTCCTAACTCAGGACTTAGGAACTGTCCCTTAGCTTTGTCACTCAAGGCTAGTGTTTTAAAACTTGAACATTAGCTCTACTTCCAACTTTTTGATGGGGGGCTGGGAAGTTGGCTCAGTGGCAGAGTGCTTGCCTTGCATGCCTGAGGCCCTGGGTTCGATTCCTCAGCACCACATAAGCAAAAAGAAAAAAGCTGAAGTGGCACTGTGACTCAAGTGGTAGAGCACTAGCTTTGAGCTGAAGAGCTGAGGGACAGCGCTCAGGCCCAGAGTTCAGGCCCCACGATGGGACTCAAAAAACAAAACAAAACAAAAAAAACCCTACTTTTTGATGGGCTTTTCTGTCAGGCTAACTTTGAACTGAAATCCTCAGATCTCAGCCTCCTGAGTAGCTAGACATGAGCCACGGTTGCCTGGCTACCTGTCTTTATTATTTTTCTTCACATACAGTGGACGTTTCTATCTCTTTGCAGAACCAGTCTTTTTTTTTCTTCTTCTTCTTTTTGGTGGTGCTGGGGATCCAAAGCAGGGCTTTGTGTAAGGTAGACAAGCACACTGCTACGAGCTTTATTCCTAATTGCCCTTTTGGTGGCATCTGGGCTAACTGTTGTCAATGCATTCATGTTTGAGAGGTAATTTTTCTGTTTTTTTGTTTTGTTTTGTTTTTGGCCCTGGGTCTTCAACTCAGGGCATAGGGGTACTGTCCATGAGCTACTTTAACATTCTACCACTTCAATCAGAACTCCACTTCCTTCATTTGTGTTTGAAAGCTTGAGTTTCAATACAGAAATTTGGATTAAAAAAAAGTACTATGGAGTTTGAAGTCCATTTGCATTATCACATAAAATGACATTTGTCAATAAAAGTTTTGTTAGACTCTTTAAATATAACTGTAAATTGTGAATGGTTATAAAAAATGTTTTCATGTATTTTACTACTTATAGATCAGAATTTATCAATGAAATTGTTCAGAATATGAAGAATTCATCCATAAAAAGTTTGGATCAAAAGTGCAAAAAAATCAGGAACTAAGTGACTCACATCTATAATCTTAACTACGCAGGAAGCTGAGATATGAGGGCACCAACCCAGGCAGAAAAACTCTGGAGACTTGTTTTTAATTGACGAACAAAAAGCTGGAGGTGGAAGGGTGGCTCAAGTGATAGGATGCCAGCTGTGAATAGAAAGAGCATCAAGGGAGAGGGAGGCCCTGAGTTCAGGCTTTTGTACCATGGCTTGAGGGAAAAAAACAAAAACAACCCTGCAAAGTTTTAAAAAACAAAAGATACTCGTAGCTGGGGACAGAAGAGAAAAACTGGGAAAGAGTGAGGGAAGGGGTGACATTGTTCAAAAAGAAATGTTCTCATTACCTGACTTATGTAATTGTAACCGCTCTGTGCAGCACCTTTATATAATAACAACTTAAAAAATAAAAATAAATAAAAGGCAAGAAACTAGGTTCAATTCTAAGTGTTACAGGGTCAAGAACTGCAGGACTCTTCTGAGTTACCAAAGGGCCTCAGCTCTGGAGGAAATGCTTAAACAAAACCATGGTCTAAAAAACACATATACTCAGCATGAATAACAAATCTGGATGAATTCAAAGGTTGAAATAAACCCACATTTAATTAAAGGGCAAAAAAATCAGAATAAATGGACTGACATACTGTTCTTACCAGGTTTCATTCAAATGAAATACAATTCAAAGAGAAACAGAAGTTATTGATTAGAAAACACCTAGATAAGGCTGACCTATAGTGAAGTCAGGTGATCATTCTTAATGATACAGATCACCCTTTCAGTGTCTCAGTGTAAAGACTTTCTTACTAACGTCCTTAACACTGGGGTTTTTCTGTGTTCCCAGAACTGATCAGGTTATCAGATTCCCAAAATGCTGGTATTAACTAGATAATAAAAGTATTATCTTTCTAATCTCAAGCCTGATAGACTGTGTACATAAAAATTTGCTTGTCATGCTGGAATCAGAGCAGCAAGAAAATAGCATTTGGAAGGTATTTCATCCAAATTAAAAAACTAGGTGACCAGTGCTCACAATAGAGTATAGCTTTGTCCATGTTTCCCAAATAATGTCTGGCTTTCCTGGACATCTACACATTCTTACCCTTTTCTGGTCCATTTTCCAAAGTCCAAGCCGTCCACTTCGCACTTGGTAGCACAAATTTTCTTTTCAAAGAATTTACAATGGAACTAATTATATTTCTAATCCTTTTGAGAGAAGTCAAAGATACCTTTTTCTTTTTTTTTTTTTAAGAAGTTGGTTATTTGGATTGCTAAAGTGAAATACAAGACATTCCCTAGCAGGGAAAGGTTTGTCAGTTGTAGCATTTAAAAAGAAATTCAGTTTCTTTAACTATGGACCTACCATTTATTAACAGGCCTGTCGTGAGCCCTGGGAGACCACTTAAGCTTTTTTTTCCACTTTCACTGGGGGAAAACGAAGTTCATGCAAAGTACGGTAAAAAGACGTAAACGTTCCCTGGATAGGGAAAGTATTAGCTCTCTAGAGTTCTCATTCACAGTCACCTTCACAAACGTTGGCATTTGGCAGTAGGTGGGCCATTGACGGAGCGCTTCTATACCTATTTCCTCTCACTCGTTTCTCTAGATGCTGTGTCCTAGGGCAGACGTGACCGCTTGTTTGTTCTCCACAGCTAGAAAAGCATTAGCGAGCATCTGCGACCTAACCTGGGATCAGTGTGCCTAGCGCCCTGACCTCCGTCAGCCCGGCCTCAGGTCGTCAAGGGGAAAACCAGTGTGTCAGCCTCAGGCGAGGCCCGGGCCAGGCCCAGGACACAGGCAATGTCACCGTCGTGCGGATTTCAGGACAGGCCCTCCCCGGTGGGCGTCGCAGTCACTGGAATCCGGCAACTGAAAACGTTAGAAGTTATCCATTGGACACGGAGGGCTTTCTAGCAATTTACGGTACAGGAAAATGTGTTTTTTAACTTCAGAAACGGGACCGGGAAGGATTCGGAAACAGGGACGAAGAGGCCCGCGCGGGGGAGGGGCAGGCCGCGCGAGAAGAAAGGGAAAGGCCTTTCTTTCAGGTGACGCGCGGTCAGGAGACGTTCTCCCGACGTGGGCGCTCACCATTGGCCGAGACCTTTTTGACGTGCCGACAGCCGCCCAGGCGCGAACAGCGACCAGGGCGGCACTTCATTGGATGTTAGTGAGGCGCGCGCGCTCCCGCGACCCGCCAAACCTCCGCCCGCCAACCCGCTGGTCTAGTCCCCCTTCGCTCCTGCCTGGCCACGCCCCTTCCCGAGATCGCCCCTCCCCCGGCAGGCCGGCGGCGCGCGGAAAGAGCGTCACGTGACGACTAGCCCCGCCTCTTCCTCTCGGTCCCATATTGAACTCGAGTTGGAAGAGGCGAGTCCGGTCTCAAAATGGAGGTAAAACCGCCGCCCGGTCGCCCCCAGCCCGACTCCGGCCGTCGCCGCCGTCGCCGGGGGGAGGAGGTATTAGGGGGAGAGCGGGGGGTTGATGGGTAGCAACCGGCTTGGGGGGGCCTGGCGGGGAGCGGGGAGGCCGGGTGGACCGAGTCGGCCGTCCCGCGCTCTGCGTTGAGACGGGCGGCGGGTGGGGGAGGGGAGCAGGCCTGTGAGGCCTCCTCGGGGCTCCTGGCCCGCCTCGCCTGCACCTTCGGCCTCACTGGTGGCCCACGGAGACGCAGCGTGGTCGGGGGACCCCTTAGGAGGCCAGACGGCCCGCCGGCTGCGCGGCCTCGGATGCGTGGCCGAGAGCGGCATGGCGGGCCTTCCCGGGAGCGGTTGGGAGGAGGTGGTGGGGGAGGGGAGGGGACGAGCAGGCACATCCGGGCGACCGAGCAGGCGGGCGGCGGCCACATCGACTCCGATCCGCCGCCGCGTTACGAAATGGCGCATTGGTCCGCAATGGCCGCCGCCTCGCTGCGTCGCCGGGAAAGAGCGCGGGATTGGAGAGAGATGGCGGGAGGCGGCCCGGCGTTGCCGAAAATGGCCGAGAAGCTCCGGGGCGCGGTGCTTTTACTGAAGTTCTCGGGGCGCGATTCTAGGCCTTTACGGAGCACGGCGGCGACCAGAACTGGTGAAATTGTTTAGCCTGTTAACAGCTCCCGGTTGGGGTTTTTTTTTTTCGGAGAGCCTGCCGATTTAAACTGCTTCCTACAGTATTTAGAATGGTACTACTCAGATCACCATGTGGGTGAAGTGCTTTTTATTGTTGTAGAATTTGAAATTTACATGTGTAGTAGTGAAATAGGAACTTAGCTATTTGAAAAAAAAAGCCTGAATATCCCGTTGCTTGTTTTGGATCTGGTGGTATTTTATGAGTTCTAGTTCCTTAAGTGTTTGAGATTTGTGTACGTGTTCTATTTCTTCAGTCAGTTTTCCTGTTCTTACGAAATACTTTAGCCAACAGGGAAAGTGGATTAACAGGCTGTTAACCGTTTAACCTAGCATACGAAGATCTCCTAACTTCTGTTTCTAGAGGACATTAGAATATAAATGTGAACCCTTTAATTAAAGGACTTCAGATGATCGAAATTCGTGCAAGATTGTGGCCATTTTGTAGCATTGGGAAACAATTTCAGGTTGCATCTTAACTTTTTAATGAGCATTTCTGTTTTGTGCTTAACTCTGGTCAGGCAGTTTATACTGTACACGTCGTAAGTTGTATTTGGATCACTTTGACCATATGATGTAAATGCATATATTGTATCATGTAACATTGATAGCAGAAAGCTACATGGTTTGCTTATCTTTCAAAAAAAATTTTTTTTTTTTTTGTGGAGAGATGTTGGTTTAGCCTAGGAATATCTATTGTAATGTTGATTTTTCTCTAGATTTGCCAGGTGTATTTTGCAGGCTGTCATTTCAAGTTAGATGTTGGAAGTGTAGATTAGAAATACTTCAAATGGAGTGGTTGAACATTCTGGATACCATGCTTCTTAGAAAATGACTTATTAATTAAAATGACTTATTAATTAAAATAATCTCTTCCTGGACACTTAGTTGCAGCGTTGAAGAAAGGATTTTTTTTATTCTGGAATTATTTTGACTTAAAGTAATTCTTGGCGCCATTTTAGGTAAATTAATTGGTCAAACTGTTAATGCTACAGGAGCTTACAAAGAATGCAAATTTTAAAAAATTACAAGAAATAATAAAACATAATGATTCTTTTTCCTAGGGCCATGATCCAAAGGAACCAGAGCAGCTGCGGAAGCTGTTTATTGGTGGTCTGAGCTTCGAAACTACAGATGATAGTTTAAGAGAACATTTTGAGAAATGGGGCACACTCACAGATTGTGTGGTAAGTTAAAGGAAGAAAAAGATTCTTAGGAAGGGTAGAGGACCTGTGGAGGTATACTAAATTTTTTAAAATTTTTATTTTGTAGGTAATGAGAGATCCTCAGACAAAACGTTCCAGGGGCTTCGGTTTTGTGACTTATTCTTGTGTTGAAGAGGTGGATGCAGCCATGTGTGCTAGACCCCACAAGGTTGATGGACGTGTTGTGGAACCAAAGAGAGCGGTTTCTAGAGAGGTATTTCAATACCTTGTTGTATTATATGTGGAACAGTGAAAGTTTGGCTTTTTGACTTAATTTCTTTATCTGTAGGATTCTGTGAAGCCAGGAGCCCATCTAACAGTGAAGAAAATTTTTGTTGGTGGTATTAAAGAAGATACAGAAGAATATAATTTGAGAGACTACTTTGAAAAATATGGCAAGATTGAAACCATAGAAGTTATGGAAGACCGGCAGAGTGGAAAAAAGAGAGGATTTGCTTTTGTAACTTTTGATGATCATGATACAGTTGATAAAATTGTTGGTAAGTAAAAATACTGGAATTTGAATTTTTAGTTTCAACTAAATTTGCTAAGTTGCTTAGCAAATTTTGTTGTATTTACTAACCTAAAAAGTGGGTAGGTCACTTTCTGTAAATTGTACCTGTGTGACCAGCATCTAGTTCAAGAAATCAACATTTTAACTTCCCAGAACATTCCCTTACCCTCACTCAAGACTCAGCTGTCTTACTGACAGTGTGTTAATGAGGTGCATAATGACAGAGGTTATCATTTTTATGTTCTTTTCCAAACATAAAATAACTTTCTTTTGTTTGATTAAAAAAATTTTAGTTCAGAAATACCACACTATTAATGGGCATAATTGTGAAGTGAAAAAGGCCCTCTCTAAACAAGAGATGCAGTCTGCTGGATCACAAAGAGGTAAGTAGATCTGTTACACGTATATAATAAATGAGTGATGTTAGTGAAATTCTTAAAAACCTTAACTTGGCCTGTGTTAAAGGTCGTGGAGGTGGATCTGGCAACTTTATGGGTCGTGGAGGAAACTTTGGAGGTGGTGGAGGTAATTTTGGACGTGGTGGAAACTTTGGTGGAAGAGGTAGGATATATACTTCAGTTGTAAGTACAAATGTATCTTGAACAGTAACTTGCATATATAATTTTAATTATATCTTCGCTTTCCTTAGGAGGCTATGGTGGTGGAGGTGGTGGCAGCAGAGGTAGCTATGGAGGAGGTGATGGTGGATACAATGGATTTGGAGGTGATGGTAAGCTTACGCTTATTTTGTCTAAATTGGATTAGATGGATTAAATATACTTTTAAACTTCAGAAGAGTGAACTTTCCCCTTGGAGATTGACCGTTAGTCCTTTTTGGCCAAAAAGATATATTTTACTGTGGGCTAAGGATATGACTCATGATAGAGCATAGCCTGCAAGCTTGAGGGCCCTACTCCTTTTTTCACCCCCACCCCCAAGATTCATCTGTGTTAGCAGTTGAGTTATTGTGGCTTTTTTGGAGGGTGCAGGTACTCAGGCCTACTTCACTCAGTTTATTTGCTCACTACTTGAACCACACCTCCATCTTAGCATTTTGCTGGATAATTGGAAATGGAGTTTTGTGTGAACTGGCTTCAGACTTTGCCCCCCTGATGAAAGCACCAGGGCCAAGCTGGCCTTGTTTTTCTTTGTGAAATTTAAATATTTAACAGATGAATTTTGTTTTCAAGATTCAGTTAAGATTCTTACTGTTAATGGCTAAGCATTAGGGGTTTTTGTTTTTTGTTTTTGTCGGTTCTTTTTGGGGAGGGGGAGGGGCGGTCCTGGGGCCTGAACTCAGGGCTTAGGCAATGTCCTGGGCTTCTTTTGCTCGTGCCACTTGAGCCATAGCACCACTTTTGGCTTTTTCTGTGTATGTGGTACTGAGGAATCAAACCTAGGGCTTCATGCATGCTAGGCAAGCACTCTACTACTGAGCCACGTTCCCAGCCCTATTATCAGGTTTTCTTTTTGCTTATGTGGTGCTGAGGAATCAAACCCAGGGCCTTAGGCATGCAAGGCAAGTGGTCTACCACTGAGCCACCTTCCCAGCCCTTTCCCTTATAATGTTTTATGTGGCTTGTTTTCATTCAGGTGGCAACTATGGCGGCGGTCCTGGTTATAGTAGTAGAGGAGGCTATGGTGGTGGTGGACCAGGTTATGGAAACCAAGGTGGAGGATATGGTGGTGGTGGAGGAGGATATGATGGTTACAATGAAGGAGGAAATTTTGGTGGTGGTAAGTTTGCTTTTATTCATTTGATAAATATTCGATACTCTTTTTCATTACAACTGTTTAAAAGATGTTTTTAACACTTTAATAAAATACAATGGTAGAAAAATACAGACTGAAGCTAATTTTCCTTGGCCATAGAGTAAAGGAGTAAAAGTATCCTTACCTCTTAGAAGTTGTAAAGTGGGCCCTTCTAAACTAGGAAATAGAACATGCAAATTGAGTACTTGAATTTTGAAGTGAATAAGGGTACCATCTGTGGTCTTAGCTAAAATGTTTTTGGGTTTCTTTTTTTTTTGGTCCAGTCGTGGGGCCTGAACTCTGGGCCTGGGCACTGTCCCTCAGATCTTCAGCTCAAGGCTAGTGCTCTACCACTTGAGCCACAGAGCCACTTCGGCTTTTTATTTTTTGCTTATGTGGTGCTGAGGAATCGAACCCAGGGCCTCAGGCATGCAAGGCAAGCGCTCTACCACTGAGCCACCTTCTCGGCCCTGGGTTTCTTCTTTAACCCATTCTTGGGTCTGTTATGAAACCTCTGTGGTAAAGGGAGGTTGGTAGATTTCTATGATCTTGGTCATTACATTGCATGTAATTGTTGTAGAGTGTGCTACCATGGTCGTCAGAGGTAGAATTCCATAATTTTAAGGGGATAAAACTTGGGTCTGGGTAAACTACAAATAAAATCTTTGTAATTTTAGGTAACTACGGTGGTGGTGGCAACTATAATGATTTTGGAAATTACAGTGGACAACAGCAATCAAATTATGGACCCATGAAGGGGGGCAGTTTTGGTGGAAGAAGCTCTGGCAGTCCATATGGTGGTAAATAATTTTTAGTTAAAACTTTTAGAGCCACTTAAGCTTAAAAGTTTGTGTATTTGAAAATTCTGCCTTTGTATTCCCAGGTGGTTATGGATCTGGTGGTGGAAGTGGTGGATATGGTAGCAGAAGGTTTTAAAAACACCAGAAAAAGGGTAGGTATCTTTAAATTTTTATTATGATGATAAATAATATGTGGAACTGTTCACTGACTGTAATAATTTTTTTATCCTGTATTATTCAACAGGCTACAGTTCTTAGCAGGAGAGAGAGCGAGGAGTTGTCAGGAAAGCTGCAGGTTACTTTGAGACAGTCGTCCCAAATGCATTAGAGGAACTGTAAAAATCTGCCACAGAAGGAACGATGATCCATAGTCAGAAAAGTTACTGCAGCTTAAACAGGAAACCCTTCTTGTTCAGGACTGTCATAGCCACAGTTTGCAAAAAGTGCAGCTATTGATTAATGCAATGTAGTGTCAATTAGATGTACATTCCTGAGGTCTTTTATCTGTTGTAGCTTTGTCTTTTTCTTTTTCTTTTCATTACATCAGGTATATTGCCCTGTAAATTGTGGTAGTGGTACCAGGAATAAAAAATTAAGGAATTTTTAACTTTTCAATATTTGTGTAGTTCAGTTTTTCTACATTTTAGTACAGAAACTTTAACAAAATGCAGTTTTGAAGGTGTTTCCTTGTGAGTTAACAAGTAAAGATCATTGTTAATTACTATTTTGTATGAATTTTGCTAAAGTTAACTGTAAAGAAACACCTACTGACTTGCAGTTTAAGGGGAATCTATTCTCCTCATTTCCAAACCATGATACGAATGGGCGCTGACATGTGGAGAGAATAGATACTTGTATGTATGCATTGTGTGTTTTAGATACATAGGATTGGGTATTTAAATTAGCATATTTGTGAATTTAATAGCATTAAGATTACCTTCAAATGAAAAAAAAACCCTCAAAATCCCTATTTGGTTTTTGTGCATTTTCTTTCAATGTAATCATGGTTTTAGTGTGTTTTAAGATTTGCTGAATCGTAGCTGTGTTTAGAACATCTCCATTCTACATTTACCTTGATCACATTGAGAATGACTGCTACCATAGTTTTGGAGTGTAAAGCATGTCTGCTGCCCTCTATTTAAATTTGTAAAGGGTAGTGGATGTTTTCCTCATCCCTTTAGAAACCATTCTTAATTTTTGATTCAGGACCACTAAGTGTGCAATGTCTGAGCATATTAGTGGATACCTGATTTTATTCTGTTTTTCCTTTGAGGCCCCTGAGGCCTATAAGTTTTATTACTTTCCTTGGTTTAATTTCTCCATGCAAGTTTTCAGAGCAAGAGAATAAAAAGACACTTCATTGTCAAATCCTTAACTGGCTGGCATGCTTTCCTGTTTGTACCCTACACATTTTTCTGAGTGAATCCAAGGATAAGATATAATTGTCCAAAATAACAAATGCAGCAGATATGTAGCACAGTTGCTTAGTACAAGCTTCTCACTTCCCAAAGACCTGGATTGAAATTTGGGTAGTTTTTGAGTTCTTAGTTAAATTCCTACAGAACACACTGTTACTCCTGTGTATATTTCAATCTAAATCATGTTGGTATGAGTTAGTGATCTTGTTTGGAAGACTGGTTGAGAAGAGATTTCAATAATAAGGTCATACATTATATAAACCAATGTCTACTGTTTGCGCCAGCTAGTGCTTTCAATTTCACTCATACCCTTAGTATGTGCCCTGCTGTTACTCTTTATTTGACAGTGAACGTTGAATTCAAGATTTTTACGTGGTTTTTAAAGTACTAAGCAAAACAAGCAATAAAAAGGGGAATGGGGCGTGCTAGTGTTTGAATATGCTCTCTTGTTGCTCTAATTCTGTGCATTATTAATATTTGGATGCATGCAATGCCAGCATGGAAATCGGTCTTCACAGATACTGAAGTTTTCCAGAAAACACTCAAACCAATAAATGTATCAAGACAACATTCCATTGTTAATGGGCATATGTGAATAAGCAGTGTAGAAAATAGGCTTATATTAGAAAATGGTTAAGTCTTATTAACATCAAGTGTGGTATATAAATGGACACTGTCAATGTTCATAACTTGGGTACTTGGTCAAAATAATGCTTGGGAAACATTAAAATTGAGCTAAATTGTCTCAAGTTTTTTTTATTCGTTATAATAAAGGTTGAAGGAATGGGGAAGATTTAACATTTCCTGTTTTTATGTTTGTGAAATTGTTTGACACAACCTTGACAGTATCCTTTAATGGCATCTAAGGTTAATTGTACTGTTAACCAACTTTTATGTTCTGGAACTAGTTTAATAGTTAAAATATTTCTCAGTAAGTGGATGTTTACAACCTATAAGCAGGTGTGTTCTGTATGTGACCTGTTTATAAGTTGTATTAGGTTAGCTTTGATGAACAGTGTGGAAAAGTAAGCCATGAGGAGGGTGATTAACCAGCTTTAAAGGACCTAAGTTATGCTTTCTAAAGCACAGTGTGGATCAAAGGAAACTCACTAAGACAGGACTTCAGCAGCCTTTTGATTATGGACAAGTCAGCATAAATAAAGAATGAGAAGGCAGCAGCAAGAGCTTCAACTACAGAGGAGTGAAAGCATAAGATACTATGATGATAGTGAGCAGCTTTCCAAAAGCTAGTTAAATCTGCTTATTACAACTGAAATATCGAAGAAAGTCTAGCAGGAAGGAGTTCTTCGCCTTTTGGAACATCAATGAGATAGTTGCCACAGACACTAGGTCTAGCATTTAGACCTGCAAGGAAGGGCAATAAGGATTAGGTAAGGCTTGAATTTGAATTTTTTCACTAATTAAAGAGTGATTTTTTGTAAAGCAAGGTAAGAGTAATCTTTTTGATTTGCAGGTTGAATGTGAACCCTACTTGCCTAAATGAGGAATGTCTTTCCTACCATCTTAAATACGAAGGTTTCTGGCTGGGTAAGGTTTGTAGCTCACAGTAAAACCTATGACATTTATTTTCCCACAAATCTATTACATATTTAGAATTTCATCCCCCACTAGTAGGGACATTGGCGAGATTCTCAAGCTGAATTTTTGGTACCACATTCAAACTTTAAAGCCTTCACTTTTTTAATTCCCCTGCAATAACCATTAGTGTTCATAAGTTAGACATGGCATCTTTTTTTCATCTATATAGATAGAGTTCATTTTAAGTGTCTAGGGTAATACAATTTCCAGTAAAAGAAAGTATGAAAACGTTATTGTTGTAATAAGCATAACTTCTGACATGATTAAGCTGCCAATCCTCATGCTTAGGAAAAACACAATGAATTTAACAGTTGATGAAACAAGATCTCTGTTCAAGTGTCCTCAAGTTACCTTGCACGCAAACTCAATTATTTGTACCAGCAGGTTAAATTTTGTTTGGTTTATCTAAACAGTAAGGTTCTGATACTATTTCTAAAAGACACCTTTCCCCCCCCACATTTTGGTTGCTACTTAAATCAGTTGCTGATTGTCATAAGGGCTACTTTTTCTGCCCTAAAAGGGCTTGTTAAAAAATTGAGGTTTAATAACACTTTTCAGGGGACAGTCACTCCAAATGTACTAGTTTCTAAGTTGTAAGTCAGTGTCTTAACATGAACAGCAATAGCTCACCAGGGTGTATTTGCAGAGAAAGGTTGGGTCTAGATCAGAACTGGAATTTCTCAATCAGAATTAAGGTAATAACCTTTCTACATGGTTTAGTTAAAAAAGGGAAACTTTCTTTTAAAGGTATTTTCATTTCATCTGAAATAAAGTGATTTTATTTAAACACAGTTCCATTGTCATTTCTGAAAAATCAGTTATAGTGCCAATAAAGGATGTTATAGGAAATGGTCAGGGGAAATTTCAATCTTTAAACCTATAGGTTATTGTTTCCAATACTGCATTTTTAAGGTAAACTTTACATATTTTTCATGTCCTAAAAATAACTGGTAAAAGTCTCACTGTTAGAGGACTAAATAGAAATAGGCTTGAATTCAAGGTTTTCAGTTGTCTCAGTATGAAGTACTTCTCAACTTTCAGGTTGGTGTCACAAAGGTAGTGCATAAGCATGCTAATGTTGCAGAAGTTGTGTATGGTTTGTTAGCCTGTCCACAATTTTAGAGCTTGTTTTCTGATTTTTAAGACATAAGAGGTGGTCTGTAATGGATTTAAATGTTTCATTTGTAGTATAATGAAATGTTTACAGAAAGATGACTTTTTCATTAAACTATTTTTTAGAAATTTGTGTCTTGTTTTGTTACTTTAGTGTTCATAATACAGGTAAAACTTCGATAGCAAAAGCTTGCTTTTTTCAAAGGAAGTCTGTTGAATGGAAAGGTTAGAATAAAGGTACTTTTGAAGATTTACTGCTGTTTTTAAAAGGACAGTTATATCTTGGACAGGAGTAATTGGGCAATTGGGTGCATGAGAAGAAACACTGGGAAACAATTGTGTGTTGGGGGGTAAAGTGGTTTCTTACACCTGAATAGACAGATGGAACATAATTTTATGAGTAGGGGAAAGGTTATATGAAAACATTTTAACCTACAGCAAATTTAACCCAAGTGAAAGGTACAAGCATATGCTTATAGTCACTAGATTTGGTTATATTGGTTATAGTTTGGGTTGATAATTGGTTTTAAAACTGCAGCATTGCATATTGGTATTTCTAGCTTTAATAGCTGTTAGTATCATTTGAATATGCTTTGAGTTGAAGTATTCTAGAGTCAGATAAGGATTTTGTGGTTTGCTGTTAACAGGATCCTAAGGTTCTCATATCAAACTGGTTTTATATAAGTATTTGTGTTATGTACAGTTAAGTGATCTTAAGTAGATGTATATCTTAATACATGAGTCCTGAAGTCAGAACAAGAATACTTCCAGGAAGCATACTTTTTTTTTCAGAATGAAAACAACTGGGAAACATTTGAGTGTTGCAGCTATTAAATTGGAAAATGCAGTGTTTCTTTGCAAATATGGGACTTTGTTATATATTATATTGGTTTAACTTTGGATTGAATGAATTACGTCAAGTTTTGGGCCACTTAACAAAATAGGCCAATTTTGCTTATCCTGATTTCAGATTACCATGTAATGGCAAGGGGTGCAGTTCGTTGAGCTGCATGCATGTTCATGTAACTAATTGGCAAAGCTCTGAAAACTAGCTAGAAAATAATTCCAGTGTTGGTGTAGTAATGGGTCAAGTTAGGCAAAGGGGTGGGTTAATGGCTTTGGATTATTTTAAAGGTAGAGCTGGTTAAATTGGGCTAAATTACATCCATGTATAGTCATGAATGTAATTAAATGGTTTTTAACAGGAAAGGGTTCTGTTAGATATTAACAGGCTTTTCTTAACAAACATGTAGATTTACATTCTTTTACACCAGGGCTAGAGGTATGGCTGAAAGCCCCCAGTTTAAACCCTCGTACCACCAAGGCATTTGTCACTTTCATTGGGTTGTCGATTTGTAGTCAAATCTTGCTGTCTTGATTTCAATAGGTATTAAAGAATGTAATTAAGATTTTGTTACTCTCTCATTCTTAAATTTTGTCAATCCGCTTTAAACAACTTAGCTTTGTTTTGACCATTGTCAAGTTATTTGGAAGTTTTGTGTTCATTTCTTTCTGGCTGTTTGATAATACCAACAGACCTTCTCAAATGGTGACCTTATGTGCATACATGTGGAGTTTAGATATTTCAGTGACTAATAAAGTATTTTGTGACTTAGTAATGTGTGCTTTATACATTAAATGAGGTCTTAGTGAATCTAACATCTACATTTTGAGTTTACATGGTTGTCAACAACGATCAGATTTGTGCTGATTGCAATAAGTCAGCACTGAATCCCATTGTGGTTTGTTTCCAAGATTGTTGAAGGAAATACTATGAAAATAACCCATCAAAATTCTAAAACTTAAGTTCTATCCACATTAAGAACTTAAATTTCTGGAGCTTGGCTTAGTGGTATAGTGCTGCCTAGCATGCATGAACCCCTGGGTTCCATTTCTGCACCACATAAAAAGAAGTGCTGTGGCTCAAAATGGTGGAGTGCTAGTCTTGGGCAAAAAAGCCTCAGGGACAGTGCCCAGACCCTGAGTCCAAGCCCCACCCAGAACTGGCACCAAAAATTCATGTGCGGGCTGGGAAGGTGACTCAATGGTAGATTGCTTGCCTTGCATGCCTGAAGCCCTGGGTTCGATTCCTCAGCACCACATAAGCAAAAAGAAAAAAAGCTGGAAGTGGCACTGTGGCTCAAATGATATAGTGCTATCCTTGAGCTGAAGAGCTGAGGGACAGCGCCCAGGCCCAGAGTTAAGGCCCCACGACCAGACCCAAAAAAAAAAAAAAAAATTATGTGCAAAGTGAAGATAATGCTAACACCAAATGATTTGGCATTTTAATAGGTTGACTAGGTAGTTGAGCTAGTACCTAAAGTTTTGAGATTATTTTTTAATGCAGCACTGGAGTTTTACAGTGATTTTCCCTCTCAGTATAGTAAGACTGGTAGCTTGTAAGTAGGAAGAATCTTGAATATTAAGTGTGGACACATCTGAACAGCCCTTCAAAAGAGTTACAGAAATTTCAGCAAACATGTAGGTTTTATATTAATATGAAATGAAAGTTCACCTCATGGCACAATAGATGTGAACTACAGAATTGAACTTAGAACTAAAGTATGGTTTAATAGTTTGAGGTCAGGTATAAAAGTAGAAATGGGCCAGGTACAGGTGACTCATGCCTGTAATTGTAGCTACTCAGGAAGCTGAGTGCTGAGGATCATAGTTTAAGCCAGCCTGGGCAGAAAAGTCCCTGTGAGACTTTAATAAACCACTTAAAAACGAGTGGTGCTGTGGCTTGAGTGGTAGCATGCTATCTTTGAGCACAAAGAGTTTTGGGGATAGTGCGCATACCCTTAGTTAAAGCCCCACAACCAAAAGAAAAAAATGACAAACGTAGGATTTGTTCTACTTGGAAAGCTAAGCAAATCTTATGTTAGTGTTTGATATATGGCCTTAAAATTCTATCTAAGCCAGCTAAATTACATAGTGGAGCAATTTTTTTCTTTCTTGTCAGTAGTGGGGCTTGGACTTTGGGCCTGGGCACTGTCCCTCAGCTCAAGGCAAGTGCTCTACCACTTGAGCCACAGCGCCACTTTGGTTTTCTGAGTGGTTTGTTAGAGATCAGAGTCTCATGGAATTTCCTGTCTGGGCTGGCTTTGAACTGTGATCCTCAGATCTCAGCCTCCTGAGTAGCTAGGATTACAGGTGAGAGCCTTCTTTATGAAATACAGATGGAGATCTGCTTCCATTTGCTCGAGAACTGCTGTTCTCCCATCACCAATTCCAGGTGCTCCCAATAAGGCTGCCCCCAAAGATATGCCTCCAACTCATTTGCAATTTTGTAAGACCATTGTTCTGAGATTGGAAAAGTTCCTCTCCTTTGCCATCATCACTAAAGGAAATTCTTGATGGCACAAGAAAAATAGGACACAGCATTTTCCCATGTCCCAGATCCATTGGTCCTTCAACTCATTTAAAACCTAAGCCTTTTAGTCATGAGTCCAATTCTGCTACTGAGCTCATTTTGTTTTTGTCATATAGCCCCAAATACCCTATTGCAAGGCCAAATAAGATAGGTAAAAATACATTTATAAAAGTTCTCAACAGGTAGAACTTCTGCTTTACAAATGAGGAAACAAGCTTTGAGTGTTGAGTTGCTAGAAATCTTTCTAGGAATTGATGGGCAGTAAGCCCAGTTAGTCTATTTCCAGGGCTGGTAGACTTGTACACCGTTTGGTCCTAATGGATTGATAAGACCAAGGGAATGATTAGCTATGAGTGCCTATTCTAAACATTTTTTGACAGCAGACAGAGCACAAATGACAACTGTCTAGGTGGAGTAATTGGTGCTGTGAATGGTGTGTGTTAGTCCTGGTTTTGTGGGCTGTTTTTGCTGTTGTTTTGGTGCCACCAGGGCTTGCTCTCTGCTTCCCACTCAGGTTTTCTTGGTCACAGCTAATGCTATCACTTGAGCCACAACTCCAGACCAGCATTTTGCTTGTCAACTGGAGGTGGAATCTTAGGGACTTTTATGTCCAGTCCAGCTTTGAACTTCAATATCACAGGTATTGGCTTGAACAGTTAGGATCACAACAGATGCAGCACCTGAAGCCATCTGAAGACGTTCAGTTTAGCTATGTCAGATCCACATCTACAATTACAGCATTTCTGGAGGTAGAAGCTGGCTTGAGCTATGTGGCAAAACCCTTTCTCAAGAAAAAATGGGACTTGAGGATGTAGGTCTGTGAGATTGCTTGCCTAGCATGCACAAAGGCCCTGGGTTTGATGGCATGTTTGGTGGCACCCATTTTCAAAATATTTTGAGGGGGTCTTATTTTTGTATCCTCTATAATAGGTGTCCAAATACATTTAAATGTGAACTTTTTTTCCAACCTACTCTATTGAGTTCCCTATTCCTGGGCAACTCAATTCAATCTCTTAAAAGGTATTCTGAAATGCAAATCCAATACCTTCTACCCTTTGCTATTATGGTCCTGAATCAAAACCAAGCCACTGTGATAATTTATTAACTAACTTCCCAAATGGTCTCTCTGTCCCACTCTAAACCTCATCAACCAGAAGGGCCATTTCCTGCTTAACATGGTGATAGCTCCTCACTTGACTCTAGGCTAATGCCCTTCTAAAGGCTTACAAGGCTTTGTGTTGTGCCTGCCCTCCATACTTCCCCTGGCTTCACACTTCTTCTGGTCCATTAATGATGTCCATTTTTTCAATTTGGCCTTGGCCTTTGAACTTGCTCTGTTTGCAATTTCAGTATGGCTTCCTATTTACAACCCAGTTAACCTTTTATCTGTCTTCCCACTCTTTTCTAATAATGCTTAACTCCCCTTCATTAAGATTTAAGTTCTGGGAGCTCAGAGATACTAGTTTTGTTGTTGGTACTACAAATAATGGAGGCATTTATTTGTTGATCTAAAAAAAAAAAAAATCAAGGTTTTCATGTCAACAGGTACCAACACATTTACTTGGTTGAAATGTACTTGGCTATCAATACACTTTCTTTGTAACCTTAGTACCATGCTTGCACCATAACAGTACCATACTGTTCTTTTTGTGGATGTGTGTTCTGGTTCTGGGACTTGAACTCAGTGCCTGGGTGCTGTCCCTGAGCTTGCTTTGCTCAGGAGCAGATCTCAACTACTTGAACCACAGCTCTACTTCAGCTCTTTTGGTAGTTAAAAGGAGGTGAAGAGTCTCATGGGCTTTCCTGTCCCAGTGGGCTTTGAACCTCAGATCTTAGCTTTATGAGTAGCTAGTATTATAAGTGACAGCTACCAGCACCTGGCTCAAAACCATTCAAAAATAAAATTTCCATTGTGTTAAGTAGGTGATTATCCTATAGAAAATACTGTTGTGAATAAAAAAATGAATCCAAACAAGTAACAATCATAATACTCCTTTATTAGTGCCAGCGCTTTAAGTTGTTTTTTTGCCTGCATTAAACAATTTAATATAAAAATGCCATTTTTCATATTTATTTTAAAAAACTATGGTTAGTTTTGCAATGATTTGCTTTTAGCTGGAGGTCCTGTCCTATCATATAAATCTATGAATGTAACAAATGAGATTAAGAACAGTATAAATAAGTCCTGTAGTATTTACACTTACACAAAAACTAGCTCAAACTGTGTCTTAAGAAATTAACTTCACTGTTAAAATGAAACTACTGATTCAACATACTGATACTTTAATGTTTTTTAAAGTTTCATATTTTCTACACTAGTTTCGGCTATTTTGCATAGAATTACTTTGTAAAGTATGTTTCTGTATTTCACATCACAGGAGGTTTTAGTGTAAACAATACAAAAAACCCCACAAAATTCATGAGCTCAGAAAAGGTCAAATCCAAACCTAATTTTTCTTAACATCTGGCTTCTTACTTTTGGGAACAAGGAATACATTGCCATCTCGTGTTTGCTGCAGGGAATATTCACTTGGAGAGTAAGGTTTTCCATCTTCATCACGTAACATGCTGAAGACCTCAAGATACAAGGTGCTGAGTTGTTTTTTCAGTAGGTGGAGGCTTTTGTCATTTTCTCCTTTTTCTTTGAGTAATTTTTCTTTTTCATCTTTTAAATGACCTAAGTCTTGCTCCAGTTCTACTATATTTTCCAGTTTTCTTTTTCTGCAATTCTGAGCAGCCACTTTATTCTTACCCCTCCTACGTATATCTCGAATTAAGGCAAGTTGAGCTTCATTGAATTGTTCTTTGGACATCATTTCATTAAAGTCATCAACAGGCAGATTAATGATTTTTTCTACAGGGAATGGGATATGAAGAGCCTTTGCTCTAAGCTCATCTCTTGTGAGATGAGCCTCTAAACGGCTTGAATGTTTGTCTTTTGTGAATGGGGCTTTTCGATGACCAGGACTTACAGGCAATTCTTTCTTTGGTGTGTTTTCACACTGGACATCATGCATAGGAGCACTGTGCCCTCGAGTTGGTGACGAAGGTTCCACTGTATTCTCAGAATGCACTACTGGCTGTGTTTTAGTACTATTTTGTTTGACACTTCCAGGAGCACTATCTGGCTCTTCCATTTCAGAATCACTGAAGCCTGGTGGTGGGTCTCCATAGATGGAAGATTCTACTGAGTGTTCCGGGGATGCTATGCTGAAACTTGTGTTAAGTGAAATGCCCGAGTCAGAATCATTGAATTCTGTTGTGCTTTCAGAATGCTTTTGGTTGAAAGCTTTACAGAATGATAGATCAGTCTCATCAATGAACCCACTGAGGAATTCAGAGAATGATTGGCTTGTAGTAACAGAAGAGGGCAAGCTGTTGTGGACAGTGGGTTCTCCTATAAAAACAGAATAGCAGTCATCACCCAAATCTGTGTTTAATGTGGCATTTGGGTTTATCGAGTTCACTGTCAGCTGGCTGGGATCTTCTGTAGAGAGGATGCTGCTGAATGAATCCTCAAAATCATTAATAAAATGTGGACTGCAGTTTCCTACTTCCTTTTCCAGTGACGGGATTGAAGAGTACAAATGGTAATTGTTGTCAATTTCTGTTGGTTTGCCTTCTGGGCTTGGAACCTCACTAGTAGTCACAACCAGCTTTTCATTTTCAATATTAAGACACTGTAGGAAAGAAATTTATATTTATGATTCAAGATTAAATGTTCTTTAATAGCTAATCCAATCTGGTAAATTCCCTACTCTCTTCAAGATGTTCTAAAATTCAGAGATAATTTCCATTTTGAGTTGATGAATACACCTAATCTTTAGGTACCATTTTCAGTGTTCCTAGGGCACACTTCAGGTTTAGAACTGTTCTTAAATATTCAGCCCATTTAACAAAAGTGCTGTTAAAATTGAGTATTTGTTTGGGGAGAGGACAAAACGGCGGGTCACACAAATGGAAGAAGAGTGAGCACGTGTAGTTATATTCATTGTGCATTATTATATAAATTGAGGGTAGGGGTGGGAGGTGGGGTAATGGGGAAGAATGATGCGGGGGCGGGGGGGGGGTGACCAAGAAGCATTGTACTTGACTTACGTAATTGTAACCTTTGTATGACTTGATTTTTTTGAAAAAGTGAGCCTGGACAGCTCTCATGACTAATTTAAAAGCACCTTCAAATACTTCTTGTTAAGTAGGTAGCATATAACTAATAAACAGATCTCCCAACTTAAAGTATTAAATATATAATATACGAAATATGCTTCTTCAGTACTGCATTAATTCTTGGTTACCTGCAGTTCTGGAATGGAAAGTAGCTCTTCCCAAACTTGCTCAAAGTCCTGCTGTATGGTGTTTAAATCAGTCATGGCTACTTCAAACGGTGTTTCAAGTGACTGAGCCTGATTAGAAGCTGCAAAGCCTGGGCTCTCCATGTGACTGGGAATATCCAAAACGAGTGACTGATGAAACGTAGCTGAAGAAACCTAAAATTGACAGGACATTTACTATATGAGTAAGCTCCAAAACACTATCCTAACACTTTAAGACAGAACCAGCTAGTTATATACTTTACTGACTTACAATTCTTATACAGTATTTTCCCACTACCCAAATGACTTCAAATTTATAATTTAATGGCTTATTTTTATCCGAGGCATAAAAAAACCTTCAAAATGGGTAAGAACAAGTTTTAGAACCCAGTTTGTATCTGTAGTATCTAGTATAATTCATCAAACAACAGACTGAATCTGGGTGCTGGTGGCTCACACCTGTAATCCTGAGATCTGAGGTCAGATTCAAAGCCAGCCTGGGCAAGAAAGTCTGTGAGACTCTTATCTCCAAGTAACCACCAAAAAAGGAGGCAGAGCTGTGGCTTGAAATGATATTTATCCTTGAGCACAAAAGCTTAGGGATAGTACCTAGACGCAGTTCAAGCTGCAGGACCAACACACACACACACACGCACACGCACACGCACGCACATGCACTAACTCAAGTCTTCACTTGTTACTTAGCTTTAATGGTTCTTAGCAAAAAAATCTTTATACCTATAATAAATGAGTTATTTCCATGGTTATGCCTATTCATGTTTGTGGTTATGCAGTAACAAAGGTTTGTGGTTTTGTATTGTTTAAGGGTGTTTTTAGAGGCAGATATACTACTGCTTCCTTGACAAAATATTTCCTTGGTAGAAGTTTTCCTCCTATTGGAGTCACATTAAAGGGATTAAACTAGGATATGTTCAATGTAGTTACAGAATTTTACTATTAATCACATTTTATACCTCATCATCATCTACAAATGGGAATGTCTCTGCCATAAGCTGCATGCAGTCATCGAAGTACAAAGCATCTGGTTTGGGAATGTGGGCAACCTAGATTAAAAGGGAAAGACAAAAAGGAACAAAAAAGTTAAAATTTTAATTGTCATGCTAAAGATTTGTGATTTGTGTAAGGTTCATGATTAAGTTCCATAAATGTTTACAATCTAGTAATTATTTCAGCAATCAGTTTGGTGCACAAACTTAAACCAGACTACATAAATCTTAGCTTCTCCTTTTTAAAACCTAATTAATACATTGCTGGTAGTCAAACCTAGGGCCTCATGCACATTAGGCAAGCGCTTTACCACAATTCTTTTGAATGAAACAATCTGGGAAATTAATTTGAGCTTTTTTTTTGGTCAGTTGTGGGGCTTGGTGACTCTGGGCCTGAGTGTTGTAGCTTGAACTCAGTCTAGGCACTGTCCCTAAGCTTTTGTGCTTAAGGATAAGTACTCTATCATCATCACTCTCTTAGAACAGAGAGTATGCTTAAACATAGGAGTGAAACTATATCCAAGGTTGCAGAATAATGAAACGGGGCAGTTGGGCTTTGGGCCAGGGCTCTGACAAAACCATCATGCTGTTCAGTCTTCCATTTTTTGTTGTTGTTGTTGGTGGTGGTGGGGCTTGGGAGCTGTCCCTGCACTCTTCAGCTCAAGGTGAGCGCTCTACCACTTGAGCTACAGCGCCACTTCCAGTTTTCTGGTGGTTAATGGGAGATGAGTTTCCTGGACTTTCTGCCCCGGTTGGCTTTGAGCCACGACCCTCAGATCTCAGCTTCCTGAGTTTAATTTGAGCTTTATTTGCTCAGTTACATTAAGACAATTCCTGCCATAATATCACATATTACCACAAGCCTACATACTAGTTTCATTACTGTCTGCATTTTTGTTGCCAATAATGTAATTTACAAGGTTCTTTCATGTGATTTGTGGCTCTCTAATCTATAAAGTAATTAAGTAGCTCAGGTATTGAACTAATCAGGAGGCTGAGAATGGGAACTTAATAAATTGACAGGGTCACAAAGACATAGTAAAAGGCAGAGTTGAAACTCAAATCCAGATATTCTATTCTGTTTACATTTCCTTAAACCCTGCTATATACTTCCCAAGAATTGAGTATGTCATACCTGGGAGTAGTTGGCAGATCCACTGGTTTCTGACTGGATGTGCTGGGTAGACTGAACTGGGAGGAATTCACCTGTTTCTTCATCTAGTTGTAACTGAGCAAAAAAGGCTTTCTCTTGTTCCTTTTGGAGTTGTTCTTGTCTTTCCTTTTCAAGTTTTTTCTGTTTTTCCAGCTCATACTCCTTCTGTCGCTGACTGAAGTCAAACACTTCTCTACTTACCCCAAGATCTATATCTTGCCTCCAAAGTATGTCAATCAAATCCATGTCCTATGTTTAAAACAAAAACAGGAGAGATCATGGTTAAGATGGTCCACATAGGTCAATTCACATAGGTCAATTCACAGTATTCCATTGTTCACAGTGGGCAACTACAAGCAAAATGAGAATGAGAACACAAATTCAGTGTTCTGAAATAGCCAGTTAATTCCTTCAATCTTTTTACCACCACATACCCATCCATTCTAATGTATCTATCACTAATAAAATGATTAGGTTGGTAGAGGTGAGAAAAGTTAGAAAGAAATGTTCCACATGTCCTTGAATTAAATCTCAAGCCAGGCATTGGTGGCTCATATCTGTAATCCTAGCTACTAAGGAGGCTGAGATCTGAGGATTGCAGTTCGAAGTCAGCTCAGGTAGGAAAGATTGTGAAACTCTATCTCAACTACCAAAAGGCTAGAAGTAGAGGTGTGGCTCAAGTGGCAGAGTACTAGCCTTGAGCAAAAAAGCTCACAGATAGTACCGAGGCCCTGAAATTGAGCCTCATAAATGGCAGGTATGCACACACACAAAACAACTCACACTTGAGTCTTAAGAGCATACAAATTGCAGTATGACATATTATGAGAAAGAGGATTTCAAGAACATCACTGAAAACTCATGGAGTTTTCTTTTTTGGGGGGGAGGGGTCTGGTTGTGGGGCCTGAACTCTGAGCCTGGGCACTGTCCCTCAGCTCTTCAGCTCAAGGCTAGCACTCTACCACTTGAGCCACAGCGCCACTTCCGGCTTTTTTTTTCCTGCTTATGTGGTGCTGAGGAATCGAACCCAGGGCCTCATGCATGCAAGGCAAGCAGTCTACCACTGAGCCACCTTTCCAGCCCATCATGGAGTTTTCTTTACCTTCCTCAGCATGTGTAGTTGGTAGAGGGACATCTCCAAGTTAAACTGACAGTTATAAAATAATTTTTATTTTTCCCCTTATACTGGGTTATCTTCATTTCCTGTTACTCTTGTCTCTGTGATTTACCTATTAAATAATTTCCTGATGACTTGAGCTTTACTTCCCAAGACATGAACAAGTTGGTAAAGAGAAAAGCTGCCTGAGTTGAATTTATAAATACCTTTTTTGGGGTAAGGATGGTCTGGGGACCCATCCTAGGGTCCTTGGCATGCTATAAGTAAATTGTATATCACTAGGGGTGACACCTCTAGCCAAAAACTGAACATTTCTCTAAGGAAAGACTGATGGTACAAAAAATTTAAATATACAAATATTCTTACAAATAGGAAATGGTCATTTTGTCTTAGTAAGACACCATATAAGAAAGAATGTATATGGTACACTCTCAACCAAAAACATGCCAAAGCAGCTTTTGATTTGTTGCCAATTTTCTGAAAATTATAAACAAGTAGAAAATTTACATCAGTTTATATGTAATCATTCATATTGAAAATAAAGTGAAACTGAGGTTGGAAAAATCAAGACATGGGAAAATAGGAGTTGTCTGATGGCTGGTGGTTATGGTATGTAAAAATCCTAGTGCTAGCCAGGTGCCAGTTGCTCACACCGCAATCCTAGCTACTCAGAAGGCTGAGATCTGATGATCATGGTTTGAAGCCAGCCTGGCCATGAAGTGACTCATCTCCAAATAACCACCCAAATACTGGAAGTGGAGCTGTGGTTCAAAGTGGTAGAGTGCTAGCCTTGAGCAAAAAGCTCAGGGACAGTGCCCAGGCACTGAGCTCTAGACCTATGACTGACCAAAAAACAAACAAGAAACAGCCAATGCTTCAGTTCTTACTAGGGTTGGCACAGCACAAGACTGACTGCATGGTAGAGATCTAGAGCTCCTGCTCCTCTAGCTTTCCACGGACAAAAGTAACCACTGTTCTTCAGTCTGACTATTTTTACCCAACAAACAAAGCACAAGCTGCTTCTGGAACTAGCACTAGCTGGCCTCTAGCTAGTAGTTTGAATCCTAAGTGGTATGGAACTGAATTCATAGGAGTCACCCTAGTCTTGGACAATAAACTTGTTAAGAGTTTCCTTATATGCAAGGCACTGTTCAAAATACAAACAAACTATTACATAAACGATTACATTTTACAGATAAAGAATACTGAAGTTTAGTCTGAAAGTTACTCACCAAAAGTGGTTAAGTAAAAGTGTAAATCCTGGCAGTCTTACTCAGGAGTGTGATTTTTTTTTGGGGGGTGGTCCGGTTGTGGGGCCTGAACTTTGGGCCTGGGCACTGTCCCTCAGCTCTTCAGCTCAAGGCTAGCGCTCTACCACCTGAGCCACAGTGCCACTTCCGGCTTTTTTCTTTTTGCTTATGTGGTGCTGAGGAATAGAACCCAGGGCCTCAGGCATGCAAGGCAAGCGCTCTACCACTGAGCCACCTTCCCAGCCCAGGAGTGTGATTTTTTTTTTAACTAATTGACCAGTGGCTCCTAAACTGGGCAGATAAAAATCCACTGAAGGGAGTGCTAGCCTTGAGCTGAAGAGCTGAGGGACAGTGCCCAGGCCCAGAGTTCAGGCCCCACGACTGGACCCCCCCCCCCCCCATAAAAAAGAAATACACTGTAATGGTTGTGTGTGTACATATATATGTATGTATATCTGTATATAGATCTAAACACACATACACTTTGCCTTGCAATCTTGATGTCGTCAGTGTACTGAAGGTTGTTTTAAGCACTTGTCAGCTTCCCAGACAAGAGCAACAAAACATGCAACATAGGACAGTCTGTCATTTACAAATAGCTAAATTCGCAGTGAGTCCAACTTAAGCATAACTCCATTTTAAAACTGATTTGTGCCAGGCACTGGTGGCTCACGCCTGTAATCCTAGCTACTCAGGAGGCTGAGAGCTGAGGATCACGGTTCAAAGCCAGCCTGGGTACAAAAGTCCGTGTGACTCTTACCTCCAATAAACCACTAGAAAACCGGAAGTGCCTCTGTGGCTCAAGTGGTGGAGCCCTTGCCTTGAGCTGAAGAGCTGAGGGACAGAGCCCAAGCCCAGAGTTCAAACCCCACAACCGACATATATATATATATGTATATATATGTATATATATATATATATATATATATATAAATATATATTTGTGTTTCCATTTAATAGACATGTTTATCCATGTAAAGAGGGTCCAGAGTATCCAGAAAGCCACTTTAAAATTCCAATTTCATCATTTCGCAATGACTCTAGATACAGCATAGTATCCTATCTAGACTTTTCCCCCTCAAACTGAAGCTATCTGACTGAGAGATATTCAATATATTCACATCTAAATGCTAAATTAAGGAATCTAAGGAAGTCATGATCCTGTGATCTTAATTAAACTCTAGTTTCTCTCTACAAAACAGGTAGAACCTGTTCCTACACCTCTTGTTGGACTCTTCATGGATCAATATAACAAACCCAAATACTTCATCTGTACTTGAGGACTACTTCACACAACCTAGGCAGGAAAGTTTGTGAAACTTATCTCCAAATAACCACCAAAATGTCAGAAGTGGAGCTGTGTCTCAAGTAGCAGAGCACTAGCCTTGAGCACAAAAGCTCAGGGACAGTGCCCAGGCCCTGAGTTCAAGACTCATGACCAGCACAAAACAACCAACCAGAAATGGAGTGGTAGCTCAGTTGGTAGAGTGCTTGCTGCTAGCCTTGAGCAAAAAAAAAGGGAAAGCACCTAGACCCCAAGTTTAAGCCTCAGTACTGACACACAAAAGAAAAGAGCCTATAAATGTAAAATATGCAAATGTTGTTCAGCACGTTGACAATGATGGGTACTTGCTTTAGGTGAGAACAAACTCTAGGCCAGTGGATAATAACCTATGGTCTTTACAAGTGGGGCCTAAAATAACATTGTGATTAGTTAGAAAAAAATCACTTTTCCCAAATAAATAATATCACTGAAGCAATGAAGCTGTTTGGTCTTTCAAAGAACAAATCTGAAAATGACAACTAGACATGCACATGTAAGTTTAAACATTAAAATAATAAAAGGATTGAAGCACCTTCAGAAGCAAAGCAGAGGACATAATTTTTGTGAATGACAGTAGTGGTTCTGCTGTTTGTTACTATTATGACCAGATGTTAAGAGCAGTATACCTCAACATACTATTCTGCATCCCATTCGATCTCCACTCGGTTCTTACCATGACTGTCCTTCAAAGTACACTCCAAACAAATTCAGTGTTCTTTTGTTTTTAATTTTCTATAACATGATGAGAAAAGAACCTCTTGATGGATCTTTATCAACAGACAAGAAACATGAAGCAAGAAACATCATTTAGATCAGCTTTAGACCATCCTGTTTCTCAACACGTGATCTGAAACAATGCTAGATTCAGTTACACAGTGTCTACAGCCTAGGTCTTGTCTCTACCAGGATAGGGGCACCAAGAGTTTCTTTCAAGTAACATCTAATTGTCCTTACATCAGGCATCAGAGCATCTAGTGAGATCATAATGGCCCCTACAGGGGTTCATAGTATTTTGAGATGCTTTACCCTCTGTATTTGCAGGTTTATGTTGAGAGGTCTCTAAAACTGCTTTTTTTTTTTAAAGCTGAATTTTAAGCAACTACTTTGGATTTTTAAAATCAGACAATCTCACCAAATTTGGAATGCAGAAACAATGGGGTTTTATTATGGCTAACAATGTATCACTCAGATTGTCATACAGTTTTCAGATTGGAAATGCCTGCAGAGATTTAATATGTGAAACATTTTCAAGTGTTGCACTGAAAAAGAACAGCAGATGTTTGTTAACCTAAAGGCCTTGCTGGGTGGGCCAACAGGCTCAGTGCTGCGCTGTGCTGACCACACAGACATACATTTCCTGTTAGAAACCCTGTGACTGGGCGCATGACTTACACCACAAACAACCCATCTCTGACCCATCTCTGCTAAGCCTGAACATTATCTAAGAGGAAATAATAGTTGGGGTGTAGCCCATAACAAACAAGAACATGACATCAGACATCAGGGAAGGGAAGTGCCAAAGGAAGAACTAAAACTGCTCTTCTACATAGAAATCCAA